TTCTATTCACCACCGCTTTGTGGCGAGGCCATGGACATCAAAATTGCAGTTCCTGACTCTCCTGACTCCGTGGCGACAGTGCCAAGGCGCGGTACTCCCGGGGGGGGGAGCGCTGGGGTTCGACGGTTTTGTTGGGATTTTCCGCGTCTTGAGAAGGATTTCCACATCGTTGCTTGTCCACGGGCTGTTGCCAATCCACCGGAACTGGCTGGTGTAACGAAAGCCGGCAAGCATGTAGGACTCCTAGAGCCAATGAGTCCCGGGACTCATTGCGTCCCTGTGGGGTACCGCTGCACTAGTTTGCAGGGGTAACGGCATTGGCCTGGCACGAGCACCACCGGGCAGCAGTTGGGAGGGGCAAAGGCCACTGGGTTTGCAAGAGGTCATCCTCACATGACATTGGATGCGAACCACTTGATTTTTGCTGTTCTTTCTGGAACGGTAACATTACCAAAATTGGCCTAATGCGCTGAAGTCAGGTTGAGTGTGTGGGATGACAATTTCTGGCCGCTGCTGGCGCAGCACTGTACACACCCCCTGAAGAGTTTACCTGATGACTTTTAAATCTAAGAGATGAATCGTTTTAGTTGGTTGAACCCCACACCATCACCACCCAAAAGGTTGTTTATATAATCCCCCCAAAGATATCATATTCTATGTCGTTTACAATCCAATAAGCAACCTGTGGGTGGTGCTTGTACTGTAGTTGTTTCTTTCAGAACTATATTTTAGATTTTTAGATGCACAGTTGTTGGTTTGGGTTGGTGTTTCGAACCCTTAAAGCAACTTCTGGAATCCTGTCTCTTGCCTGGGATCAAGGGTGACTTCGTGTGCTCAAGAATTTCTGCGAGCTTACTGTGCGAGCAAAGAAGAACTCATGCACATTTGTATTGGTTTGGTTCCTATGACTTCTAACAAGCATCCGCACACATCGATGTAGAGGAGGTTCAAACGAAACACTTTTCGTTGGCCTCGGAGTTGATGTTAATAAAATGAACATCCATGAACCCTTAGTCCTCGGCGCGACGTCGAGATTTGCTGCCCAGGCTTGTTGAGGCAAAACAATCTTGACTCGGAGAACAAAGGGCAAAGCCCAGTACTGTACACCCAGCTCTTAGAACGGACTTTGGTCGGTTTGCAGGTCTCACTGCACCCCAATTCAAAACTCAAAGCATTCTCGTGTTTGGGTTTGATGGTGGGAATGCCTTGCACACGTAATTCTCAGTTGCATTGGGCATTCATGACTGACTCAAGTCTGACTGAACTGGGTGTGTACTCAAAGCAGTTAATGATCACATTCGTTCTGTATGTCTGACAGAACGAGTGCATTCGCCGGAGGGGCCGGAACCAAGCTTGAGACGAACGACAGATGGTGAACGCATCACTGGAAGCGATAAGAAGGTAGAACATGGTGGAACCACGAAAGACTCGATATGCTCAAAGCTAGACATGGTAAAGTTGGTACAACTATCAAGAAACGACATCAGTTTAACTACTGTAGTTGTGATCGAGCTTCTGGCCAATACACACTCTGCAGCTAGATTGACATCGAACCTCCGGCTCATTTCGGAAGCCCACAAGCAGCCAGAAGCACGAGTGCTAGTGCTTGCTCAGTGCTCAGCCCGAGTTACTGTCCAAAACTCTTGATGTTTGCTAGTTCTTTGATGTTCTGTGTTGGTCTTGGAGTTGGTGTTGAGTTTTAAAGTTTTGAGATTTTTGAGCTCGTGTCCTCGACACGATTTGCTACCCTGCAGGCTTGTGCCCAGGACACCTCCCCAGCTCTTAGAGCGGACTTTGGTCGGTATCATTTCACCCCAATTCAAGACTCAAGACATTCTCGAGCAGTTTGGGTTTTTTGATAAGTTTTATGATGGGAAGGCCTTGCACAGGTAAAGAAGTTGCATTGAGCATTCATGACTGACTCAAGTCTGACTGAACTGGGTTTGTAAACGTATTATATGTTTCCAACTTGTGTGTGTTTTTGCATCTGCCAGAAAGAGGGGCCAGAAAGCTAAAGACTTGGCAGACAGACAGAAGCAACGAATGCATTGATGTTTAAAGAGCTGAAGCCTTGACATGGTAAAGTCATGAGTTCTGGCCAATGCCTCAAAACTCACAGACGCAACCACACTCTGCAGCCACATCGCGCTGCACGTCGAGCCTTCGCTTTGACCTTATTGGGCAGCGACAAGTTGGCTCATTTGGGAAACCCATAAGAAGCCACACGCACGAGCGCTCAGTGCTTGCTCAGTGCCGAGTTACCGTCCAAAACCACTGATGGAGGCTCGTAGTCGCAGCAGAAAAAGGGAGTTGAATTGAATTAAGTGTTTGGTTTGCCCAACGTGGCTACCCAATCGATCTTTCGTGAAGCTTTCTTGTCTGATGAAATCACTCCGTTGCTGGAAAAACCGTTGGCTCCATGGTCTCGAATCCACTCTTTATGCAAGTCTCAGACTTTCAGACTAGATGTATATTTTTCATCAAGCGCTGTGTCGGCCCATGTGGTTCCAGATTGCAACACTCAGGCCATGTGGTTCAGAGCACTGAAGCTACAGCCATTTGTAGTTTCTTACTGATAGACAGGTGCTACAAATGAGTTTCTCACTGATAGACAGTGCTTCTATTTGTAAGCTACAGCCAACTATAGTTTCTGACTGATAGACCATATCTTCAACTCTCAAGAGTTCCGTTTCCCTTGATATGCTATGATATGCTTCAGCAGCCTCTCTTGAGGCTTGCAGTGGTGAGGGGATTCGGTTTTTTGTACAGTACAAAGCTCGGCTCAGCATGTCAGTTCTGGTTAGATGTGAGGAAGTTTTGTAGCACGTGGGAGTCTGGCAGGAAAGGAATCAGAGGGGATTATTCAATCTCAGATGACCGGCCTGCCCGGGTGTCTCTGCTGGCTGCGTGAGGACCGTTTGTGTAGTGAGTAGTGTTCATGATGCAGATGTGTGCAAGGGCATTATCAGCATCCCTACATCAGTCAACCGGTGGAGGCAGAGCTACCCACATTTGCTGCTGATCAGCCTTGCAATACGTACAGCTTTCTGGGGAAGAAACAGAAGAGTTGGGTGAGGGGATCTCTACAAAGCTTCATGACCATCCAACCCCACACACAGCCACATGGAAGTGGAAAATCCATGTAACGATGATGTCAGGACCGTGGAAGACCATTGAAGCCTTCAGAATATTTCAGAACATACCCTGTTGCAACCACTTAAACATGTTGGAGGAGTTCATGTGGTCGCCCCCCCGAAAGCAGAGAGCGACCGGGTCCCACCGTTGGTCGTTCGGTCCGGGTCCTGTCCAGGGTGCAGCGCGGTTCAGATGGGAGGATGGGATCTCGCAGCGGACTGGAGGTGCCCCAGCAAAAGGTTTGAAGAGACAGAGCTGGGATATTTTGTTTTTCCCCAGATAGCGAAGCTATGGGGTTCTTACTTCAAATAACAATAAGTTGCCCGTGCGCGCTTTCGAGACAGGTTGCTGGTGCTGGGTGCCGGTGCTGATGCTGGTGCTGTGAGCTGGCTGTGCACGTGGTGGAGAGAGGGTGCATGGGTGCCAGGTGCCGGTGGAGACAGGGTGCTGGTGCTGGCTGTGGTGCTGGTGCTGTGAGCTGGCTGTGCGCGTGGTGGAAACAGGGTGTCGGTGCTGGGTGCCGGTGCCGGGTGCGGGCTGTGGTGGTGGGTGCCGGTATACCGGTGCTGGGTGCTGGCGCTGGGCGCCGTGAGCTGGCGCGCCGGTGCTTGGTGCTGGTGCCCGCTTCTGACAGTGAAGTGATAACAACCGCCGCTTCTGACGGTGAAGGGTAACAAAGCGCCGCTTGCAGCAGTGAAGGGCGACCAAGCACCGCTTCGGACAATGAAGTGCCAGCAGTCATGGGCCGCATGAACTTATGCACGCAACATGATACGGTGTTGTCGCTTGAGCGTTCTTTGTCTATTAGCGCTGTGGGGTATTTACACTCTTGAGGTTCTGTTTTGGCCGACAGCTGTGTCAAGAGCTGTACTGTTTGCGCGCGTACTTTTGTACAATTTAAAGTTCTATGTGCAACGTCAGGCTCTCAACTGGCCATTGTTTCAGCATGTTTCAGCATGCTGCACACACAATAGTCGTGCTGGATACTGCTTGGCATTGAGCGAGTGAAGCCCACGGGCTTTGCCGTTTGTGCATACTTTTGTGCGCATAAACTTATACGCGCAAGATCATACGGCCTTATCGTTCTGCAAATCGTTGCTTCAAGCATGCTACAAAGTCAATCGTGGCGCTGGATACTGCTTGGCCTTGGGCCAGTGACACTTACGGGCTTCGCTGTTTGCGCGCATACTTTTGTGCGCATAAACTTATACGCGCAAGATCATACGTTGTTATTCTCCAATTAGGGATAGCTATGGGGTTCTTGCTGCAAATAAGAATGAGCTGGCTGCACGCGCTTTCGAAAGGGTGTCGGTGCTGGGGTGTTGTGGTCCTGGGTGCTGGTGGTGTGAGCTGGCTGAGCGCGCAATTAAGACGGGCGGCGGCGCTGGTCGGGTGCTGGCGCCGCTGCCGGTGTTGTCAGCTGGCAAAGCGCACCGGTGCTGGTGTCAGCTGATTGTGCGCGCTTTGGAGGTGCCGTAAGCTGGCTGTGCAGGCGGCGTACATTCTTGTTCCAGCCAGTTGCATGTCAACAAGTCGTGGGATTCTGCCTGGCTATCTGGGTCTACGCTGGCGTAATTTTTGGGAGTCTAGAGAGTTCATTGTGGCCGTGACTCTGACTCAGAAACTGAGAGTAAATATTTGAGCAATTGGAGGAGTTGAAGATGCACAGATGGCAAGTCAGTCTTGAGTAGGACTGCCGCAGTTTTGGGTTTTGAGGGCCATGCCGGTGCAACAAGACTAAGAACCGAACCCAACGGCACATGGACCGTTTCTTCCCTTCTTTTTCCCAAGACAGCAAATGCTGGGCATGTGGACAGTCACAACAAAGCTACATCAATCCAATCCAAAGCTACATCAAGATCCACCCCTGGCCCTAATCTTGCACCCGCACGAGGGCGAACGTGTGGCACTGCCCATTCCATGGAACAGAGTGGCGAGCTGCAAGGTCGCTACTTGTACTGGGAGGACAGCGCCCAGTGCTCCTTTGAGATTGTGAAGCAAGAGTCCCAGGGCCATTTCATTTTCTCACAGATCGTCAACGGTGAGGCCTCTTCCGGGGTTCTAAACCGAACAGAAGACCACTGGAACGCATCAGTGACGGGCACATCTGTGAGAGATTGGAAGCTGCAACTGGATGGCGATGCGCTGCTGGTTGAGCGATCGGATGGCTTCGAGGGCCGGGCCGAGCGGATGATCGAGTCCAAGGAATGGCAAGCTGTGGTCGCGCAACCGGTGGATCCAGGAGAGACACTGCTCATCAAGGCAGCCCCGGGCAGCGGCAAGAGCACCTTGCTAAGAGAGTGGTGTCGAGGGAGACCGGATAACAAAATCTTGCTTCTGGCCTTCAACACAGCAGTTTGCCAGCAGTTGCAAGCCAACTTCAATGAGCTTGCCAACGTGACTATACAGACTATCCACAAATTTGCCAGAAATGCCACCAAGCATTTGCACCATGGCGAGATTGGCGAGCCAACCGAAACTGACCTTAAAAAGTTCTTGAAGTGCAGCTCGGAAGAGGTAGAGAAGCAGCAAAGGCTCCTTGCCAAAGTCTGTGCCAGTGCCAGTGTCAGCATGGACTTTGATGGTCTGGTGAGCCTGGAGGATGAGGATGATGAGGATACCAGGAAGCTGCAGAAGTCTTTGTGGAATCACTTCTCCTCAGGAAACTGCAGCTTCGGGGTTCCTCACAACGTCTACCTGAAGCTTTTCCAGCTAAGCCCCGATCTCCGGTGCAAGGCATTTCAAGAATATGACATTGTTGTCGTGGATGAAGCGCAGGACTGCACAGATTGCATGCTGCACCTTGTCACAAGCGGCCAATTTGCACGTGTCCTTGCCTGTGATCCCCACCAGAACATCTATCAGTTCAACAAAGTCAACGGCAAGTATTTGGCAAAGATGGAGGTGGATTACCGGATGAGCTTGCCACTCAGCTTTAGGTTTGGGCATGAAATCGCACAGCTCTTGACCAGCATTGCTCAGGCAAGCCCGGAATCAGTTGATTCGATTCTTGAAGTGCAAGGAAATCCCAAGCTTGAAACGACTCTTCAGGTGGTTCAAGATCCAAGGGAGGCAATCAAGAAGCTCTTGGCTGGCAACCAAAAGATGACGGTGCTGGCAAGGAAGAACCGCACCCTTTTCTTGCAGGCCATCGACGTAATCGCTAGCCTGCAAGAGGGCAAGTTCGACAAGTTTATCAACTTTATTGGAGGTTTTAAAGCCTTCAAAGACAAACAGCTTGTGCCTGTCCTTGATCTCCTCTACTTGCGTGATGGCCGTCAAGATGAGGTGACCTCCAAGTATGTCAAGAAGTTTGATTCCTTGGATAATTTCAGGAGCAGATGCGAGCAGCAACAATCGATTGACTGGCTCTCCAAGCTTTGCCTTTGCGACCGGCTGCTCTGTCCTGAACAACTCCAAGGCCTCATCGAGTCCATCGAACAATTCGAGGCTGAGGGGAATGGTCAAGCAGATCTGGTCTTCTCCACAGTCCATCAAGCGAAAGGGCTCGGCTTTCCGAACGTGGTGCTGCTGGAGGACTTCCTGGCTGAGCCCACGACTGAGGAGTACAACATCTTCTACGTTGCGTCTTCACGGGTCTCCACGGGCTCGCTCTTTGTGGCGGAGAGCACCATGCAGGCTCTTCGAGAGGGGGGAAAGCGACGGGGGAGGAAGAGACCGCTCGAAGAGTCTGAAGAAGAGGACGAAGCGTGGAACGAAGAGCCTGAAGAAGAGGACTTGGATCCTGAAGAAGAGGACGAAGGAATGTAAGGCTTCGACCTCTTCTCATGTGCCGTGTGAGAGCAAAACATAATATACTTATAAGTCCGATCAAGTCAGCAGGTCAACAAAGCTTTCAAAAAATGGGGCCGGCTGCCGCGGCTTTGCCTTTGCGCATTTTCAGAGACCTTTGCGGATGTCGTTTTTCCATGTTCCGCTGAAGAAGGGCCCACCATCACCGAGTTCGTTTTGTCTTGCCTTCATAGCCCAACAGAGCTGGAAAGGCGTGGGGTTACGTAGGTGTCATGGAATATCCTTGAGCCGAAAGACAATAAGCATTCATGAAGTATTGCCAAAGAAAGTAACGAGCGCGATTCTGGGGGGCACGTTTGATGTTGCAATTGTTTCTCAGGTCGCAGAAACATTTATATAATGTCATTTGCATTCTTTTTTCTATTCTCTTTCAATATGCAAGGTCCCAGTCCGCTGACGGAGAAATGGGCGAATGCTACTGCACAAATTGCTCGAAATGATGGAGGTGGGGTCTACAATGGCAGAGTCAGATACAACGCACAATTGAATCCGTTTTAACGCTGTTTGCTGCTTGCTGTTGGTCTCCTTGCCGCTCCAAACTGTCGTGCGCTCCCAAGCCGGACAGTGATGATGTTTGCCATGGACAGCTGCAACAATTTCTCATTCTGCTGCATGCTTGCATATGCTTGCCGACAGGGCCATGTGCATTGGGAATAGTCAGGATCAGTTGCATTTTTAAGGTTGCGTTTCTTTCTTTCTTACTGGATTTGGAAGCCCAATCTGCAACTTCTCTTTTTGTAACAGGTTGGCTGATGCCATGGAGACTGGCAGCGTCCCGAACCTAATCAGTGGAGTCCAAGCAAGCTTAGTGGTCAGTAGAAACCAAGGGTTGAGTTGAGGGCTCGAGGAATCAAGGCAAAGTGCGCCAAGTGGGTCTCCTGTCTCCTTCGATCAAGCGCAATCGATCAGGGAAAGGCTGTCAGTTGATTTGTTTTCGGTCCACCGCGAGACTTGAGCCAGTCTCCCACTCTGGGTTGCAGGCCGTAGGCCACGGATGTCACTCAGGTCCCTGCAGTGTGCTGGCGGCGCGGTGGCGTAGCTCCGTGGAGCTGCGCGGTGCAGCTGATGGAGAGGTGGGCAGCAAAGGATGGTGGTGGATTCATTACCCATTTGAATCTAGACGCTCCAACATGAATCTGCTCTAAAATTTGCCAGATGCAAGAGCAGGTGGCAACCAGCCCCTCGTTGTCACAGCGCAACGCCACCCTCTACGGTGTACATGTGAACTGCCCAGTGACTAGTTACTATAGAGTGTTACTAGCTGCGCGCTGCCCGTGCGAGATGAACCCGAGTTACTGTAACTTCTATTCTGGTTGAACAGCATAGCAGAAACCTGACATTGAACCAATCTTGGAGGAGAAAGGTTGTGCTAAGCCGCCAGTAATGGTTTGGACGACCAATTCTTTGCTTTGAGCAACTACTCAAGAACACCTACTGTTCTCCATCCTTCCTCAATGTGCAAGTAGAACTTGATGAGACATTCTTCCCTTAAAGGACCACGTAGGACATACTGGTAGATGGTGATTGAAGATGCATAAACACTTATCTCATCTGCTTTCCACCAACACGAATTCATTCTCATTTGTTCCCCCTTTTGCCCTTGATCAGCGCAGCAGAAACTGAATGACAGAGAGAAAACAACATATATGAAAGAGACAGCAAAGGGCTGGAGAAAATCCTACATACACTGAGTGCTCGATCCATCACCAATTCACTTCACTGTGGATGTCTTCAAGATTTCGGAGCCCAGATCGGCCAGATCTGCCATGCTCCTGAAGTATATGATGCATTCCTAGCATTCCTGGTGTTTTCAGTATCACTGTCCCTTTCCCCACTGTTGAAACTTGGCTGATCATCACCCCGGTCAACTTTGGAAGGGTTTTGAAGAGCTCAACAAAACAAACAAAGATTCTTTGAAGCTCGGTCGGCTCTTACAACTGTCTGAGATAAGACATTCACAGCGCCAGTTTCCCGCCTGATGCCTGGTCTCAGGAATTCGATTAACCGTGTGTTGGTCACCGGAAGGAGTGCCTCGTACGAGGAAGCAGTTGTTCAGAAGTGCCTCAGGGTCGGAAGATGATCTCCAAGCAGGTAGGACTCAGTCAGGAGAACATCGCTACAGATACTTGTAGGGATAGAAAGGAGAACCTAGAGCTGTACTACTGGAGCACCATTGTTTTCACAGCTGGAGGTGTTTGTGGGACTTTCATCACCAGGGTTTCAAGAGTCTTGCTGATGAGGCACTGCTGGTCTCTGAGACGTTTTGCAGCTGGTTGACAAACACGTTGTTTTTTTTAATCGTGACGAGAAGAAGACACTTGAGTTGTTAGTCATGCACGGAGCGCAATGTAGAATGGTCACAGCAGAGTTGATAACTGAAATCGATTGCTTAGCAGCTTAGCCCCTTCTATGTCGGAGAAGCGATTCCAGGTGTGTTTTTCCGTACAAGTTTGGCCAGATCCCTTTTCAAAAACAGTGCTGATCCTTCGGTTGTGGGCTGGTAGATTCCCACCGCTTCCACAGGAAATAAGGTCTTTTGGTCCAGTGGGTATTGTCCATAAATTATCAGATTCTTTTGGAAGGATAGTGTGTTTACTCAGGACCACCGGGGCACATGTGTAGAGATCCCAGTCAGACTGGGGGTCTACCAGCTTGACATGTGGTCTGTCTTGACGTGGTCGATGAGACGAATCGGGCATCGCAGGGAATCGCAAGGAATCGCTCGCTCAGGTGTCAACAAGTTGTTGACCTCCCTGAAAGACGTTTGGAAGATGGCGCTGGAGCTTTGGAGGCTTTGATAGATGGCTCTGGTAGCAAAACACCGACAGAGCCACCCACACTATATGATATGTATTCTCCTCACGACTGGGTAAGAGGAATCGGAGGATGCTCAAAGATGTTCGTCCACATTTACTTCAACTTGGTGTGTTTATGCCAGTTTAACTCTCTGCAACAGTCTCCAACAAAGGCGGTTCTGATCCAGTTCGGTCCATGAGCTCCGCAGGTCGGCTCCGCCGGTCCCCGCTCCGCAGGTCTCCCCGCGGCGGAGACGGGGCGCTCGACGCCTGCGGACTCACGAGCCTGGCGCAGGCGGGGGAGACCGGCGGGTCCCGCGGAGACGGGCGGAGGACCCGGAATGGTTGGAAGCTGCGTGGGAGGCAAAAGAGAAAGAAGAGCCTGGTCCATGCCTCTAAGTGATGGTGGAGTACCTTTCTGATCCTGGGGGATAACAAATAGCTCCATCATGCAGGACACACAAAGAGTTGTTTGTTGGGACACGTTAACGGACCCCTCAAAGACAGCCGGGCTGCGTCCTTGGACTGCCGAGCGCCACTTCAATCTGGGCATCGGATTGAAAGGACCATGATGACCAGGCCAGGGCCATGTGCGGTCTTCAGACCAATGAACTGAACACTCTTCTGATGGAGAACTGGAACGGGACGTGGATTTCAGACTCATCATGGATGAAAAAGGGCATCCACCGGATCGTGGAGACCGTCCAAATTTCAGACCTAATATGTTACTGTTGGGGTGTACACGTGGAGATCCACCGGCATCTTTGGTTGGGGTGTACACTCCCTGATATGTAAAAAATAATGGTTACATATGGTTACGTGGATGGCATAGGCCCCTGGAAGACCATGTTCCGAATATAAAACCAAACAAGTGGTTTTCCACTTCCATGAATTAGTTCGGGTAGTGTCGTGTGTCAGAAATCGGGAGATCCTCGTTTTGGACCCAAGGGAGGAGGACACATGAATCAACATCTCATTGTACTAGAAGAGCTTGGGGGAGCAAGTTCGTCCAAAGCCATGCACGCACATCGGTTAGAATCGCGGCGTCCCATTCCGGGGCATTCCTGGTCACCATCAAAGCCTCGGACACCTTTTTTCGGATGTTACGTTGGGAACTCAATTTCTCGCCTGGACCAAACAAGTTATAATTCTGATAGGCACTGCCCAGAATAGGCACTTAACCATCCAAGATAGGCACTGCCAACCAGTCCAAGACGCTTATATAACCATCCAGTCCAAGATAGGCACTGCCTTCGGCCCGCGTCCCTGAGACCTATGCCTGGCCTGCTGCCCTTGGCAGTTTCGCGACCAGCCGCATCCCGATGGATGCGGTCGCCGCGAGTGCTCTTGTGGTGGCTGGGTTTGGCGCCCAGATGGGACGGGTGACAGGGAACAACACTTTGATGAATGCATGTCTTGGAATATTCTAGTTTCTATAATTGAATCAAATTGAATCTTTGGGAGGTTGATGAAGACTCACTACTGCTGGCCAGAATGGGTATCACTGATATCATCATCAAAAACGCAAGTGAAACGAGGAGTTGTACTGTAAGTCGCAATGTCAGCGAACCGCCAAACATGCTCTTTGGGGTTCTCCCAGATTAGCAAAGGTATGCAAAGGTCCTGACTCCAGTAAAATCAACCTAGCTGGATAGTCACCCCGAAGTGGAGGACCTCCAATAGAACAAACTATATGGTGTAAAAAGATTGTTTCTATCTAGTTGCGTGCGTTGCGTCGTTTCTTTTTTGCGAATTTGGAGAGTCTTTTCGATCTTTCCCTGGCAGCCCCAAACTCCTCAAACTCCTCCTCAAGGTGTTCAGAACTACTGTCGTCGTACCCCAAAAGGGCACCTAGAGGCAACACCATGACCAGTCGCAGAAGAATCCTTGGAAAAAGCAATGGCTTCTTGTAAAGCCATGAACAGATCCGTACAGATCCTATCATATATCCTGTCCATCCTGATCCGTACAGATCCCATCCTTTGGCACTCCCGGGCCTATGCCACTGAGGTATCCCTGGCACCTCGCTTTGACCACCAGAGACTGCTGGGACCTGGCCTGCATGCACAGCAGCATGGCCAGCTGCGTGAGGCACGGTGCTTTTGCAGTCGCTGGTGGTTTTTGTTTGGACAAACTGATGCAGTCGATGCAGTCGATGCGAGTCGAGCGATGTCCATCCAGAGGGTGGCACCATTTCTGTCTTTCGTTCCAAAAGCATCGACGTTGTGTTGGATGGAGGAGTTGCAGGTTACCGTTTTCGGAGCGTTTCGCGGCCGCAGTTGAGGGTTCCGGTGAAACACGCGGTTTTCGGATCCGCGGAAGGTTCATGTTCATTTCATGCGATTCACACACCGGTGGTTGGGCTGGGTGCCATGGCGTAGGGGGTAGTTACATCACTATACCTTTTGAGGATGTCCCACACCGAGCTCATCCGATTCCCATGCGTTGATGGAGCGCTGTTCGTGGAGCTGGCCAGGTGCAATGATTGGCCTTACGCGCTTGAGCTCTTTGACGCGCTGGGCACAGGATGTTTGGGTTTGCGCTCGCCGAACATCATCAGCTACAACAGCCACTTGGAGTGAAGAGTGTTTGGGAAGCGGACACGGAATCTTTAATCACTGATGTAAACCTTCATGAACTATATATATATAGAACTATAGTGGTTTGGGGATGTTGAGGGATTTGATTGTTTAATTATGTTGAATTATTTTCTTACTTTGATCGATTTGTAGCGGGAGACACTTCCTTTTGTTTTGTATAGTTGGCGTTACTATAGGATTCTGGCGACCCCAACACACTGCCCTTGCAGTGTGCTAATGTCCCTTTTTGGTTTGGGAACCGGTTGAGGCGCTCCAAAAATGGCCTGGACTGTTGTTGCCTTTCGTTGGAGCAGTGGCTCTATAGGATATTTATCAATACTTGTCACAGCCTGGACGAACCGTTGTTTTGGCTGAAGAACGGCAGGGAAGCGACCATCATCGACCATCGGCGGCGGACAAAGGCCCACGGATGCGTGGAGGAGAGGACTCAACTGACCTGCGCGCACGCAGGGCAGGTCGAGATTTCTACCCACTGAAGTGATCGCGTGGCGAACCACCGTTGATCGTGTGGCTGGTGGCGACCAGCCCTCGTGGCCGAGCTCGGATTTGACCAGCTATCGAGTCAACTGCCCTGGGTGGATCACTGAAAAGGTGAAGGCTCCGAACCGTTGGATCCCGGAATTCCTCGCTGTTGATACTCCCAGTTGCCGGCGATGTTTTCTTCACCCACATCGTTTTCTTCCTCGAGCTTGGAGGAGCAGCTGTACAACAGGTTTGGAAGAGGACACTCCAGATGATGGAGGTCGGATCGCACGCTCCCAGCGATAGCGATCCGCAGGGACAAACACAGCCACGATCCGAGGTTGGTGGGTCGAGTCTTAAGGAGTCTTTCTCATCATCGCCTCTTTAAAATCACGTCGCAAGGGATATTCCGATATCTCACTATCATGGACGTGGATCCTGTTCGTAGAGCGGTCTTGCGGCCTATGCCAGCATAGTTCATGGTATTTGGCGCAGCACCGGATTCTGGATACCAACAGAGGTTCAAGGACCTGATAGACTATCCCATAGGTACCCCTAGAGGGTCCTATAAGGTCACGTAACCTCTCTTGGTACAGCTCATGAGTTCGACTACCTTAGGGTTCGCTTGGTCGAGTCACACCGAGGTCTCCTTCGCTCGGAACCCACCTGGTCGAGCGCGCTGCGGGTCTTCCAAGAGGTGGCGGAGGTCGGGGCCGGCAACGCGTGCGGGCGAAGCCGGCGCTTCGAAGTGCCCTTTTTGGTTCAACAATGGTTGAACTCCGGGAGTGGCGGGTGCTGTTTACTTCTCAGATTTCTCCTCACTTACCAACAGGTGAGGATTGTGCTCCCTGTTTTGGAGCCATTCACGTTTTGACCTGATGAAAACGGGAGTGTCGCATGAGCCATGAGCCAGGCCTGACAAAAAGTTCATGGGAAGTCGGTGAAAACAGGCACAACTGTTTTTTTTTAAAGCACAGCACTTTCAGCACTTTCAATATACAGATCGGTTCTTCAACTAACATGCAACATAGAACCTGAACAAATTCATCAGTGGCCGTTTCCAAACTACTAAACGCTTTGGGCTTTTCATGTCCCCCAAAACGCAACTCAGGCTCATCATGGCTCAAACCAAATAACACATTGAAAACCACAGTCCCTGAACCGAAAAGAACCACATTCCCTGCCGCCTTTGTCCTCGTCGGAGCTTCTCACCGAGGTGGGACTGCGCCGGAGCTCCTTCACATGGACCTCCACGCACCTCACTGAGTGGGAGCGAGTGTTGACGCCACTAGTACGTTGAAGATGCCAGTGGTGCATTAAAGAGACGTGGATCCACCAGCATCACACAAATCCAACAGTCGGCACCCTTCACTTAGCAGCGGCTCTTGGAAGCAAGAAAGAATTCAAGCCAGATCTTCAATCAACCAACTACAAGTATCGCTAGCTTGCGCTTGAATAATACCTTTTCTGGCCGACGGTCACCCTCGCCCTCGACTGCCCCAATGCGAACAAATAAGAGAAGACACAAACGCTGCTTGGATTTGCTTGGTCTTCTTTCAGTGCCACCCGACAGCGGCGCGAGGCTGGCTTCTGTGCCGTGGCGTGAGGCGATGCAGGTGCGCACGCAGATGGCTCAGGAGATGGTGCGCACGGCTGGGAGGCTTGGGTGGTGGTTTCTCCATACTAGCACCCTCCAAGAGGTCACCGCCAGGCCTTCATTTATTGAATACAAATCAGTCAACGTCAAATGGGTGTGATGGGTGAAGGTCAAAACGAAGGGGACATTAAGCTTAGAAGATACTGCCGTGGGTGTTCACACAGAGGGCCGCGCAACCAGTGGATGCAAAAATCGGGAGGGTCTCCCTAGCGGCCAGACAGCATGATCAAACGATGCCCAGGATAAAGAGGACCTCATCACAATGAGGGGTTGAACACACATGAAAACATTCACTCTTATTTCTGTTGATCAATCCTTCTTTTTTTCCTTGCCTTCTTAGGCTGAACCGCTACCTGATTTTGAACCGTACTTTGGCTGGAGTTTATCAGCTTATCATGACTGCTGAGGACTTCACTGGGGTCTTTCCCAGCAAAGATGATTATTTTACAGGATAGGGTGAGTTTTTACTTAAGATTTGGGAAGCAAGTGGCTGAGAATTGATACATGGTCCAAAAATCCACTGCAAGAAGAGGAGCATGTATTGAATGAGTTGGAACGATATACTCTGACACATGAGTGCAATTCGGAAGGCTGCTACAAAAGCCACGAGGTTCTTTCATTGCCCATACCCCTGACTAATCTCCAGCTGGGATAGGCTCATGGCTCTTTTGCACCGCTTCATCTGCAGGAGACCAACGAACCACCACACATTTCTGGCTTCACGCATGCACGGTGGCCCAACTGCAGGGTTCGCCAAATCCTCCTGTGGCCGGCCTGTGGCCGACCTTACAACACAAACATCAGACCCTCCTGAGTGAGAAAGCACGGCCTAAGCATGGTAAGACTCAGATGTGACTCTGGCAGCACCAGGTCGACCGACCGGTTCACCCTTCGCCGTGTCGGTCGATGTCGGTCGTTCCGGACTGCGAACCTGGTGGGTCACGACCCATCTGTTGACCTGAACTGCTCAGTCGACCGACGGCGCGCCGCTTCTCTTCGAACAGATCCGGTCAGACTCGTCAGACCGCCCGAACACGTCACCGAAGCGGCAGAGGATCGAAAGAATGCCTTTTTTGGGGGTCTTAGCTTCAGTTCCAGGAGGATCTTGGTGCTTTATGGTGCTTTGGGATTTTCATTTTTCAGGATTCTACCACACAAGACCTCGTGTGTTTGAAGACTAGCCATGACTTTTGAAAGACTCCGCAACCTGGAGGACGCAAGCCTGGCGGTTTGTCGATGTTCAGTGCCGTGTGTTTGAAGACCCTTTGACAAGGGTGAGCAAGCCAAGCCAACTGATTTCCATGTTCTCCAACATCTCCGAGTTATATACCTTCCCACTCAAGTACCTTGAATCATTGAAGGGCCCGACCACAAAAGACACCACCTCTGTTTTGGTGCCTCTACCGTGGCAAAACGAGGTGCAACCCTGGCGTGAAGCTGTGAGAGCGCTCGACGAGTCGTTTGGGCCGCCCAGGTCCGCCCGCAGCGTTGCCCACAGGTCCATCGTCCTTTCGTTTCGTGGAAGAAACAGACATAGCGAAGTGCCCTGCACTGATATATCTGGTGCCCTACACTTCTACCAATGGGATCGTGGGATCACCATATGGATCACCATTCTTTGGGGGACAACCATTTGCCTGATTGATAGCTGTTAGCGGGTTAGTACTTCTCCAGTAAACATGTGAGCGGATTCAAGGAACTCGAGAAAGGGTCATACAAAACGACACTCTCCAAGTTTACCATCGTGGCTGATGCGTTTCCTCCCTCTCGCTTGCTCCTGTGGTTCTCATCCGTTTTGACCAAAACAAGGTATATAACCAAATGAAACACATGCATTCTTCACCGCAGCTTCACTGCTTTGCTTTCCCCGGTGGGGCTTGGGCCGCGCATGATGGAGGTGGTGGTGCTGGGCGGCGGGGTCATTGGGCTCACCACGGCACTGCAACTGCTGAGAGATCCCAGGATTCCCTCACACCTGCAGGTGTGGGAAGACATATTGTATTTTATTTTTTGTCGTTAACATGGCAGGTCGGTTGGCCGGTTGGTGGGTTGGTTGGTTGATGTTGGTTGGATTGGCTTGCTTCATGGCTTGAAAGTCGTCGTTTGCTGCTGCTGCTGCTGCTGTAAATTAAGCCTGAAGCCTGAAGCTGGTTTGTGCAGCGTTTATCCTTTGTCCTCGGAGCCCTGTCAGTATGATTGTCATCTTCACTCTACCTGCCGGATGCTAAGCCGAGCCTCTTGGTCTGCTGCTGCGTTTGCTCCTTCGAAGGCCACAAAGCCACAAAGTGGTGCAGCGGTGCATCATGGCCCGAAATCTGAACGTATCCGAACACAGAGGTGCAAGAATTGCTGCACCGGCCAGGAAATCTGCACATCTAGATTGACAACGTGCTGTGCCAACCACGAAATTCTGAATTCCGAAGATACTAATGACGCGAAGCTTTCTGCACTTTTCAAAATCAATCTTTCATCCTTCTGCAGATTGCGGTTGATACAGATTGCCGATCGCAGATTGCTGATTTTATTCTTATTGAATCTTATTGAAGCTTTTTCTTGATGCTGGAGTTGGGTAAGCTTGAGCCCAAGGCACATTCATTTACTGCCCTTAATTTAGAAAGGTTTCGCGTAGCTGAGCCGTCCTAGGACTATACAGATCGTAGTCGTAAAGGCCGTCCCCGGTTTGAGCAGGCCGGGCTTCTCGCGGTTCACAGCGGTCCACCAGCCATCGCGCCATGTCCAAGCAAAGCACTACTAAGTTACTAAGTACAAGGAAATCTACGTGTCGAAATAAACCGCCTCCGAACTCCTGCACCTGCAAAGACCTAAAGAAGAGTCGACTTATTCCGATTGCAACATAGCGGTGCAAAAATGCGCACGGCACGGTCTAACCACGCTCTCCGCAACTTTTGCCACAATTTTGCCATCAGGTGCAGTGGAACCCATGTCAGGTACTGAAGTCTTTGGAAGAATCCTTTGAGAGAGATTTTGACGAATGAGAAGCAACCTTTGAGCCAGCCGAGCACAATCTCTTTCCCATGCTTCATGGGATTAGGGGGAGCTACATAGAGGGCATGCACATCCACTGAAAGGCGGACCATTCACCCCCATGGCCATCGCCGCTTCGCGCCCTCCCTGGCCGGTCATGACCCGTATGTTTCTTGACTTTCCTGATCTTTCTTGCTTTTCAGGGGCGAACGGAAGAGTTTCAATGTTCATTCCACTGTTGGGGAAACCCATCTCCATCCATCTCCTCCCCATTTCCTCACCATTTCCTCCCCCACGACCTCTCCGCTCTTTCCCCAACCACCTCTTCGGCTCCCAAACAAACACCGCCTTCAGCTTCGGCCGGCCGCTTCGGCCAGGTGAAGGTTTTGGCCAAAAGCTTCGAAGCCACCTGCTCCCACGCCGCGGGAGCTTGGTGGATCCCCGATCCCTCCTCACCCGCCTCGCGCTTCGCCCAAGCGAGCGAGTCGGGAGCGCGCTACGTGCGCTGGGCCAAAGAGACCTGGAAAGAGATGCAGGACGTGGAGCACTGCCGAATGGTGCCAGGTGAGGACGAATTCACCGTTTCATCCAACTTGGTTCGACTCTCACGCCATGTTCGCAAGGTCAGGGGATGTGGTTGATCCATGGTTTTTCTCCACCTTCACACCGGGCTCTTTGTCGTCAGGTGTTCGTCTCTATTTGCCCTCCGCGCTCCAACACGGCGAGCTGTGCTTGGAAGGGCCCAACTCCCTGCAGGCGTTGGTGCAGAAGTTCCAGCGCCTGGAGCGGCTCGTGCGGTTTCCTCGCGCTGCGCGTGAGCTTGGCGCGCGTTAGGGGTCTGGAATGGTCTAGGTCGAGGTGGAGGGTCGTTAAAAGGGGAATTCTCAGCTCTTCAATGACACATGAAACCATATGTCAGAATTGCAGGAATGATTCCCGTTTATACATGACACTCGGAGATTCACGCCGTCAGCCATAGTAGCCTCTTGATGGTGGGGGAATATCGATTAGTTTGGGGCAATGAGTCTCACACTCCAACGATCTCCACTCCTTATATATAGTCAGTCCAACACGTCAGTCACACTCATATTCTTGAGACAGAACACTGAAGGCATCTCCCCGAAGTCAACGCTCTTGTTATCTCTTGTTGCTCTTCCATCTCTCTCCCATGTCTTTTGGGTTTTGCACCAGGACCTAGCGGGTGCGTCTGGTGCTTGGCCGGGCGCTCCAGTGGAGGTGGTGAAGGGCTTCCGAGGACTTGAACCTCCAAAGAGTGGCATCAGCTTTGAGACACAATTCACCAAGATGGATGCGTTGCTTGGCACACAGACCGGTCTTGAACGGCTCTGTGTTCCTTTTTCCGGACAAAGATGTTTCTAAGTGTTTGTTCTAAAAGACGGGTGATTGTGGCGGGATTCTGAGAGGATGTTGGATGGATGTTTTGTAAGAAGAAGGGTCTGCTTCCGAGACCATCACCGTACATCATCAGACACTCCCAGTGTTTGTTCGCTTGCTCCCTAGAACAGGATTCGGAACAATGCTCAAACAAGACAGAACACCGCCGCCGTCAGCTTCAGTCGAAAGCTGCCGTCGTAAGGTATTTGGCCCATTTGCGAGGGGAGCTCAACCGCTCGGGCCGTTGTCAACTGCTAGAGCGGGAGGTCTCTTCCTTGGAGGAGGTGCCAGTGATGAAGTTGAGACCCTCGACCTTTCCAGATTCTTCCAGATTCCCTGACATTCCTGCAAAAATCGCAGCCAAGTGCTGGTTTGGTTGGACTATGCTGGGCCGGGCTGTTTCTTTTGGCAGTTTCAACTGCAAGGGTCGGGTAAAGGTATGAACAGACGTTCAGAACACCCCTTTGAAGAGAGACCAAAGACCAAAGACCAAAGACCGGCCTGGTTGTAAAATGAGTGGACCTGCATGTTTTGGCTATAGGTGGTTCTAGTGCTTCGGGACCTCTTCATTTGTAGGTTTACCTTCCACCAGCTTAGCCATACCTAGCCAGGTTTACCGTTGATTTTTGCAGCTCCAGGTCACTGCCGCTTACTCCAACGCTGTGGCCATCGTCAACTGCTGTGGCCTCACTGCTGGCACACTGGCGAAGGACCCGACGATGTTTGCGGCACGGGGCCAGACGGTCTTGGTGGACGCACCGGAGCAGACGAGCTTCTTCAGTCTTCAAACAGGCCAGACGAGCGTGAGTTTGATGTGTTTTGTTGCTGGTCCTTCAGAAACTCGTAATATGTCGTGGTTTCTTCAATTTTATTCACGACTGTTGAACGTTTTATCTATCTGTATGTGTTTTGTTGTTTAACTTCTTTTTAATTCTGCCTTTGTATGCCTTTGTTGTTTTTACTGTTTTTTTTTCAGATGAATGGAAGCAGCTTCGTCTTTCGCTTTTCTCTTTTCTCTTTGGGGAATGCAAAGTATCCAAAAATTATATTTATAGGAGATAGCAAATAGATGGCATGAGGAGGAAGCCTATGATATGCCATCCTGTTGTGGTTTAGGCCACTTCCATGCCATCTATCCCCGGATGTTTGATCTGAAATCACAGGTTTTGTCAATCGGAGCAGGTCTACAAGAGTCTACAAGTTCACAAGTCTCATTTCCCCAGTTTCGGAGCAGACTCTTCCAAGTCGACCTGAGTTCCGCGGTTCCAGGCGACCAACGCCCTGTCTACGTATTGCCGCAGGGCGACGGCACTGTGGCCGTGGGCGGCTGCTGCTTGCCGGAGCCACGGAGCCCCGACGCCTCGGCCTCGCGGCGCGTGCCGGGGCGCGAGGGCGGGTGGCAGTGCCCGGAGCTGGACCAGCAGCTGGCGGAGGACGTGGGGGAACTTGGAGGGTCAGGTTCGTCCACGCGATACTCTCGGAGAGAATCTATGCAATTCCATAAATTGAGGATGCGGTTTGGGAATTGGAAGCCATCTTGTTTGAAAGAAGAGCATGCATGTGTGTCAAGACTATGTCCTGAACATTCCTGAACCCGTGAAAGAGGCTCTGAGCAAAGTTGCCAGGGACAACGATGGGGGTACTTCCCATGGCCTTTACCTGACAAGTTAATAATTCAACGGCCGAGGCATCACATTTGCAGATTTCTACCGACCCTCTTGATTTTGATGCACATCACTAACATTTCGCTTCAAACCCAGGTTAACCACTCATCGCCCCATCCCTCCAAACCTGGCCCCAGCTGTTTCTGTCCGAAAAACCCGCCACCACGGTGTTCAGGAGATCTTGCGCGATGCTCAGGCCTGGTGTCCCGCGCTGCGCGGCCGCCCGGTGCTGCGCCAGTCCGTGGGCTGGAGACCCTTTCGCGATCCTGCAGCGAGGGTCGAAAGGGACCCGGAGCACCCGAAGGCCAAGGGTCTCAAGGGGTCTGAAGGGGAGTGTCACGGGGATGGAATGGAATGGAGAGTGAAGTGGGTGGGGGGAGTGATGGCCCATACGTGGCGGAAGTTCGGGAGAGGGATGCCCCAAACAAGAGGAGTTTTCTTTGGACACGTTTAAAAGAAGCTTGCGCTTCCCCCAAAAACCAAACGCACCATAAAGCACCCACGATCCCATCTCCCAACCCCTCATGCCCCAAGCTTGAGGCCGGTAGACCTCTCAGGCGTTCGCCCTCAAACAACCTTCGACCGCATGGTGGCACCTCCGGAGGTGATCCACAACTACGGCCACGGCGATGTGGGTGTGATCCTGTCCTGGGGCTCGGCGAAGGAGGTGGCCGAGATCCTGCTGGCCATGACGCAGTCGAAGCTCTAAGGTGCTTTGGCCTGAAAGGGCACGATTGTTTTTGGGACTCAGACTCATATTGGTCTCATCTTCATGCTTCTATGATATGGTATACTGAATGCATGGTTTATGCTTTTGGACACTGGGTATGGTGGCGTGGATGGTTAGAGAGAGACTCCACGAGGGTCTTTTCAAAGAGATTCCTGAAACTCTCACGTTGCAGCGAAATCATGACTCTCACGGAAATCATGAGGCTTCCACCCCCCACACACACAGGCCAGGTTCCCAGGACCAGCTTCGTTCGGAGTGTACTGATGTGCTGGATTAACAGGCCATATCAGTGACATTGACCGTTGGTATAGTGGCAGGGGTAGGCGGAACATGCAACGCGTTTGCAGCAGTCGCTTCTGCTGTTAGGCTCCCACAGGATTTTCTATGGCACCCGCGAGCTACATCGGCTCGTGCAGTCCCTTTGAGGGATTTACTCAGCCATTGCGCTGATAGCAAGATGCAGCTGGCTGCTTTATGTGGCTTTTACCCAGTGATTGGTTCTACTTTGGGCGCTGAAGCTGAACGATGACCTGGAGATGGTTTGGTGAGAGGCAGACCGTTTGGGATCTGCTTTCAGTCTCGAAGAAACATCTCCCAAGAGTGGAGATGAATCGCCTCTGAAAAGGCGATACTTGTTCGTGCGCGGCGAGTGAGAGATTGGGGCAGGTGACGAGAGATGGGAACTTTCGGGGGTTGGTGAGTAGCAGCTTTCCCAATCCATTGAAGTGCGGATGTGCATCTGTCCAATTGAAGCGCTGATAAGGTTTAGATTCTAGATGGTTCTAGCATGTTTTAGCACTTTTTGAAGAGTCAAAAGATGCAGAATAGCCCACGCAACGACAACAGTGACGGTTTTTTGTTGGTCTTTGTCATGCTTTGCCGAGATGGGGATTTTCCGCCGTGACCGGTGAGAGGGACCGGCTCCCTATTGGATGCTGTTGGTTCATAGGTGAAAGATGGCTTTTGTGGCCAAGAGTGGAGCGTAGCTGCCTGGGTGCCATCCGTCGAGAATGGAAGGGGCATCCTAGTTTCTTCCGAATCTGAAGCTTTTCACCTTCCCCTCATTGGGACATCCCATCGTCACTGCGATCTCGCAGAATTCCGATATTTCTTGCTGTGCAACATTTTTCCAAGCGCCGACTTGTCCCAATCCCAGATCAATTGTGTGCAGCGGTGCTCCACCGAGCACCACACCGAGAAACACTGGTGGAACGTTCGTCACACCTGGTGCGCGCCGCACTCGGTGGCGACGCCCAGGCGCGACCGCTTCGGCCTGCGCCGCGATTTGGTCGCCTTGGGAGCCTTGACGGCGAACTGCGCTGAGGCGCGGTGAGGCTGCCCTGGTGATCTCAAAAGGTGCCAAGGCAGGCAGGCAGGCATAGTGCAGTGGCATTTCTGGAAGATTCAAGTGCCTTTTTTCATCCCGATATCCAGAGGAGGTGTCAAAACTAGCTTTGCCTCTTCACAGTCTTCACAGAGAAAAGCACCAATGCAAACCGCATGCTGGCCAAACTGATTGATACGATAAGACTTGGTATGATCTCCGACCCTATATATGTATAATATATATATATAAATTATATATATTATATACATATATATATATATATTTGCTATTGTATGAAGCATGTGATGCACGGCACAAAGACCTTCTTACATGCACGTACAAAGTCCACACTAAGATTTGTAGACACAAAATGCACCTCAGGAGCTATATTCTGTACAATGGATGCTCATCCAATGGTCCATGTCACCCCTCAGAGGCTGCTGCCTGGCGTGAGACCTTGCAGTTAACACTGCAGGGTCCAAATTCCATGGTGGTTCTTGGTGAGGGACACTCAGCGGCGGCGGCACTGGCATGAGTGGTTCTGAGAACCTCAGACTTGCACCGCGAAGCATCCCTGGCAGGATTCTGCAAAAGTTGTAATTTGTTTTTGCAAACTAGGTTTGTGGTTGATCTTTGGGCAAGCACCCAAAACAAACAGCCTAGTCCATCCTCAACGCGAACCTCAACTTCTGATTGTTGGACTCTTTTTGGTCAATGATGCCGGAGATGCAGAGTGAAGAGGTCACATTTTGTGCATTCTAGGCAACCCCCAGGCTTGGGCGGAGTTGTGGCAGAATGCCCAAAAGCTGGTGTGAACCAAGTCGGATGGTCATGTTCAGATGGGGGACGCCAGATGATAGCTCCTTATCCATTGTCAGATGGCAGCACGTACTGTAGAATATGGAACACGAGAAACAGAAAACCTGGTCTAGTTCTTGGAATTGGAATGTTTTCAACATGCTTCATGTTCTTCCCTGTTGAGCAGAACAAAATCCAACTGGTGTAGAACTGGAATGTCTCCCACCGGTCTTTCAACCGCGTCTTCGCTGTTTAGGCAGCGCAGTGAGTGCATGTGAGAAGTGGGGGCATTGGAGGCTGAACTCCGAAGAAGGTGGATGGTGGTGTGATGTCCAAGAGCCTCTCGTTGGTAGGTGCTTTGTTTGGTTGGGCTGGGCAGGTTTCTTGGGTTGGGGCGACCCTCAAAAAAAGTTTGACAGCAGATTGTGTGGCCCTAACTAAAAGCTTGAATTTGTCTTTCACCAACAGGTTTGTTCTGCCATGTGACTATCAGGAGTGCAGATTGTAGTTGAGCGTCCTTTTGTCCGTTGGCTTGATGCAGCTTTGCAGCTTGCCCAAAAAACCGTGGGTTTTGGAGGCTGTTGACGTGGGTTTTTTCATCAGAACACCTCGACAGCTGAAACGCTCCATGGTGGCACCCTTTGGTGGCCATTCGCCACCCCACCCAACCATTGGCGTGTAGGCTGGGTCTTGGAAATTAGAGTCTGGACTAGATAGAATATGATAGAATATATATATATATATATTCAGGAGGTCGGAGACTGGTCATGTTTTTGGACTGGTTTATATATGTTTATATGGTCTATCTAGTCCAGGATTGGGGAGTAATGCCTACACTTGGTCTGGTTGAAGGCTGTGCACGTGGGAGTGATGCCTCGGATGGGGCCACTCAGACTCCACCAGCTGATGTTCTGCCAGCCAAACCTCCGGTGTTGTACCAGAAAGATCATGTTTCGTTCGTTTCGTTCGTTTCGTCCAACATGTTCAGGCATCAACTTTGAGTAGATCATGTGATTCTCACCCTTTCACCGATGTTTCTGGGCCAGTTTCGCCCGGAACGACTCCGGGGGCCACATCGCACGGTCAGCAGCTCGGTGAGGCGTGCGTTGCAGCTCCTGGCCCTCCCGGCAGACATGATCAGCTGCTGAGAAGTGAAACGGAAGATGAGCACTTGTCAAGACCCAGAAACCACAACAACTTAAATGTAAAGAACATTAAAGAACAGAATTTGGGGTCAGAGCAAATACTGGTTTAGTGGAAACCCTTGAGGGTTCCGAGACCAAAACAAAAAAAAGTCGGTCATTCCGTGCAACAGACCGAGACAAGACAGAACAGCGGGTGGTTCATTTCTTCTTAAAAGGTGTTTCCTTTTCAGGAACGAACAATTGGGGTGGTTGGGGGGGGTTAATGGGGCGGCGGTATAATGATTCCATGGCAGTTCCATGGAGTGTCTGGGTATAATGATTCCAGGTACCCGTTTTAAACCATGTTTTGCTGCGTCGGCGATGCCGCCACGCGGCTGTCCCCACGTTCCTAGTCACCACCCAGGCTTCGGCGCCGCGCAGGGGGCCTGCGCCAAAGCGGAACGACGGAAGGCGGTTGGGGCCCGCTGCTGGCGGTCCCTGGCGGTCCGATCCGAGACTTCTTCGGAATGGTCTGAGATTGGAGGAGCTGCCCCCTGATTCCCAAGACATGGAGGTTTCACCAACTTTTTGGTTAACTCATGTTAGAGCGCTTTCTTTTTTGTTAAGTATAATGACGTCTTCCATGAACAGAAGGGCATGTCATGGCACCAGGCCAATGCGGCGGACGAGCATGGACCGATGCGGCAGTCAAAAGACGGCAGTCGTCTGCTGCGGACGATTTGGGAGAATTCAGAGACGGACGATTTCTGGTTGGAGAATCTTCCAAGACATCCCTTAGGTTGGGCCCACAACGCTGTTTGCGATTTGATACCATTGTGTTCCTCAAGAGCCTGCCAGGTTGAGAGCTAGTGAAGCAGCTGTTCACATCCAGTGGTGTGAGCCAGTTTGAGAGGCAAATGAGGCGGATGTTGAGGCATTCTTGGGTGCACATCTTTGGCCTTGTGGGATTTTTGAAGGTCTTTCAGACGAGTGAAGCTGGTGTGATGGAGCTATTAAAGAGTGGAAGAACTCCTGTCGTGAAGGCCACAGTGAAACTGGGACAGCCAAAATCCATGTAATGGGGATGCTTAAGGATCTTGAGCCACAACTAGTGACTTTGTCACTAATTAGGGATTCAACCACTGTACATAATTTATATACACATACATGTGGCAACACCAGCTACAAACCCAACGATGGTAGACTTGGAGTTTCTCCATGAAGACCCACGACGTGGCAGACCGCAGTTGATCCGAATGGTTCTTTGAAAGCCAGCCATGTACGCGGTGCGCGCACGTATGCGCAAGGGATGAGAAGGGACACCAGGGGATGTGATGTTCAAATCAGATCAAATCAGTTTTTCATGTAAAACGATGCCACAGATCACGGATCCATTGATCAGTCTTTCTTGCTCCATGGAGAACAGTTGCTACAGTCCCACAAGAAGCCCAGAGAAAATATACAACCAAGCAGGCCAACAATGTGTGCGTGCCTTCGAGATCTGAACGGATTCCAAGAGCAAACAACCCAAGAAACTCCTCACATTGCTCAGACTTTCACCAACTCATTGAGACGAAATGGGCAGCTTGGGGGCCGAAGGATGCCGAAGGCCCACTCTTTTTGCTGGCTGCGCTCCAAGCAGAAGGGGCACCACTGACTGTAATCCACGAAACGTGTTGGGGTAGAATAGAATCAGCCATACTTTTGAGCGGGTTCGAGCAGGTGTTGATAATGCATATAATAGTGACACGCATCGCATGCATCTGGGAAGGCAGGAGTACAGCAATCGATGCTTGACACACCATGAGACACCTACAGTGGAAGGCCATAAATTCACACATGTTTCACGACTTCATCACATGTTTTCTGTTCTGCTCGCATGATCTTCCATCCTATTGGTCGGCATCGCCTTTTTTCGACTCGAAATCGCTCGAGAGGTGTGGCACTTTGCCTTCAGCAGCGGGTGGCGCGCGGCCTTTCTCAGGCGCTGTTCCCTGCTTGACCTGCGGGGATGTTTTGGTCATGACACGGCAGTCTTTCGATAACAATACACCTGGATGAAAGGGTTTCAGAAGTGACGATGTCGACGACGTGTATCCTGGTGAATTTGTTCTACAGATCCCTTGCCCAAGGATGGTTTTGAGAGGCGCTTTCAAGAAGGAAGCCCGAGTGGAAGACCATTCCCGAACAGTGAACTCCACAAAACTCCACAAAACCACAAGTGAAGACCGTGAATGAGCGAAGATGAATGATGGTCCAGAAGACTTTCTTCTTGCACCTGGGGTGTTTTGCACTGGTGCAAGGTGAGGTAACGTGGGAACTGACCCCCCTGGAAAGGAAGGCAGGGACTTCTCGGGTGTTTCTCGGAGTACAGCTCAAAGAGGTCCGAGGGACAAAGTGCGAAGGGTTTGGAGTCTCTTCGCTGTTTTCATGACTGTCCCTGCCTCAAGCGCAAGTTGCCCATTGAGCAAACCTGATGTTCTTGCGGATCTTCTGAACAACTACCAGCACCACTGACGGGGTGGTTATTGGATGGAAAAATACATAGTCAGGGGTGTCCCCTAACCACCCTTTCCGTGGTGCTGGTATATAATATGCAATCTTCCTGCCGTCCCCCCCAGGTGCTTCTGGTTTATCATCATGTTCTTTTTAACCTGTGCTCATGGTTCATTCTTCTCTCATCTTGTCCTTTTAGGCATGGAACGAGGAGAAAACGGAACTCAATGTTTGAGGAACTGACACCAAGTACTTTGGTGATCCGTTTTCACAAAGACAATGTGACAAACCCATCAATGATGCCGGGCTCAAGCTGTGAGCTGGCCTTGTGCAAGCGCTAAGCGAAGCTGCGTAGCTCGCTTGGCGCGGCCACGGCCCAAGGCGGTCGTGCACCAGCAGTTTTGGAGCAGGATGTCGAAGGATGAGCCAGAGGCGATCCCCGATCAGAATGATTTTGATGATTTGGATGAGGATCTTGGATGGTCATGCAATTACCTGATGGTTTGCATCCTTCTGCCTCTCTTCAATGGCTTCATCAATGGCTACTCCTGGTCTGGTCTTGCTCTTCATTACCAGGACATGGGCTGGCCCATTGAGAGGGCTGGCACCGCATGTACCATCGGCTTTGGTTTGCGACTGGTCTTCCAGCAAGCTCAAATGCGCGCAGGCGGCGCCGGGTCCGGGGTTCTTAGGTCGACCGTACTTGGACACGTGTGGCATCCGCAAGCGGACGGCACACAATGTGAATTGTAGGGACATGCGGTGACATGCGGTGACGACACCACTAAAAACACCGAGTGAGGGCGTATACAAATACAGTAACATCAAATAACAGGTTGACTCGTCGGTTTCAAGGTTCCTGATGGCGTGAGGCCTAATGACATTCAACCATTCATTAGGCCAGGCGCCCTTTCCGTCACGAGCCTTTGATCCGCGTCGCGTCGACACCGGTCGTACTGGGCGGCCGACACCCGTCGGCCGCTGCGAGGCTTTTGGGTGGTGGTGCCTTTGGGGCTTTTCCACTTGGCGACAGCTATCCTGGGCACCATCTATACCACCCAGGAGAGCGATGAAGCTTTTTGGGAGAGGTCCTCGGGTGAAGAAGGAATGTCTTGCAACTCGAGTCGTCGAACCATGATGAACCAGGATGAACCGATCTACGACATATATACTACAGGTCAAAGACATACAAAGACCTCATTGGAGTTGATGAAACAAAAATCATACAACAACACTACTCAAGGAGGTCAAAGACCAGGGTGGCCTGGGTCTTTGGACTTCTGGGGCATGGTTAGCACTACCCATGCAGACACTCCATAGGACTAGCATATGACTCCCGACCACTTAGGTTGGCTGTTTTGGGGTCAAGTCTTTTGGATATGGTTTCTGTTGTACCCAGTTCTTCTATTTGGATACGGTTTGCTACCCGTTGCTTCTGGAGATGTTGGATTATGTCTTTCCCCACCTGCCAGGTGCAGGTTGTTAGATTCTAATTCTATCGTAGTTACTTCCGCCTCCTTCTTTCTCCTCCTCTGCCTCCTTCCAGCTCCAGAGCTTCACCTGAATCACGAGCGCCAGAGCTCAGTGGGCACCCCCAGACCTGAACCAGCTGTGCTGATGTCAGAAGGAATGCCAGACAGAATGCCAGTACAAATGCGAGATAGAGTGCCCGTTTCTTCTTGCCAGATTCAGATAGAATGTCACAAAATTCCGCGAACATATACCAGATAGAATGCCAGAATACGTGCTAGATAGAGTGGCAAACTGAATGCCAGATAGAATGCCAGCATATATGCCAGAATTTATGTCAGATAGAAATGTACAATAGATGCCAATAGAATGCCAGATGGTTTTCTAGAAATGCATGTCAAAAGATATGCCGCATACAATGCCAGACATGATGACAGAAGATATCGGACGCACGCGCTCATCACCAGCGCGCAGTGGACACCGCCATACCCGAACACCAGCATGGCGTTTAGGACCCTCTTACTGAATTTATTGTTTCTCGGGTCTCGCTTTAGAATGCTGTTTACGTGCACTCCATCTCTTATTTTTTCTGTGGTGAAGTCTTTTTGGTAAACTTAGAAAACACCGCCGGAGCTAGCAAGCGTAGGACTTGCCGTGGTTGATGGCTTGCAGCAGCAGGTCAGGGTTGTAATACCAGACATTGTTGCACAATGTTGCACACATGTTTTCAGAGGCAAACGGAAGGGTAGTGCACAGAAAGGGTTTTGCAAAAACCTATTCTACTAACATCGTGGAAGGCGCGGGACATTCGTAGAACCCAAGGCTATTCGTGGACAGTTCGTGGAATGGTGGGCCAGTAGCAGAACTGACTGCAACGAAATCCCAGAAACCTTCGCAGAGCTTCGTGGAAGGTATTTTTGATGCACTAACTTCGTACAAGCGATTTTTGCTGACCCCCTTTCTCCACAAACCCTCCATTTAGCCTTCATGTTTGCACACGCAGCAAAGCATCAAAACAAAGACAGGAATTGGAAACGCCATCACTCAAAAAAATGTTTCGAGATGGTGCAGGTGTTTTGATTTAATATACTGTAGTCTTCACCAAGCGTCTCCTTTTCCACATTGAAACAACAATCCCACATCATGTACAAAAGGACTCAGGCAGCCTCCAAAATCCAAAACGATTCCAAGACTGGCCACAAAACCAAGACCCCTCCCAAGACCGCGCGTCCAGCCTCTCTCTTCAAAGTCTGTGTTCCGATCACCAGGAGTGGGCAGTGATCCTCGAGGTGGCGACCTTTCAGTGCTTGGACCCTTCCATCACCATCGAAGGTGCGTGCGGTTTAACGTCTTTTTACCGCCCATTGGGACCGCGTGGGGAACTGGTTCAGGGGCTGAGCAACGTGGGTGACGCGGTAAGTATGGCGTGTGCCTGGCCGAGGTCGGGCGACCATTCATACCAAACAAGGGAATGTCCACTTCATTCGTTCAGGGAGTGTATAATGAATTGGCTAGTCCTTTGCTCAAGGACGGGCTACATTGATCTATAGTAACTTGAGAAATCATCCTTCAGCGCTCGGCGGCTGAAGTTTTGGTCGGTGTCTCGCATCCCCTGTGTCCCCACCCCCCGTGGGTCGTTCTTGTTTGCTCGCACTCTGACTGCCTTTGGTGAAACATGGGTGGATCAAGGAGAGGGACTAAACATAACAATATGCACTACGAACGATCTACTGTAAGAGGATGGCTCTACTTGGTGCCAGGATCCGATTTTAAACGACGCACCCAGAACGCCGGAGGCACTGCGTCCTGCCCCCCAACCCCCCTCCAGCGCCACGAACTCAGCATCTAACAAATTACTTGCGTAAATTTGTGCTAGTACGACTACTACTACTACTACTACTACTACTACTATCACTGCTACTATGACGCTACAATTTATATACCACTATCTATACGATTAGTATTGCTGCTACGATGACTACTACCACTACTGCTAGTATTGCTTTTACTGCTGCTACTTGTTCAAACTCTTTCTTACACTGCTGTGTATATTCATATGTTTAATCCTAATCATTCATAAGTTATAATATATTGGTGTTTATTTTGACTCTCGTCTGTCCTTTGTTCTGTTGCAACATGGGCTAGATTTCTTTTTGTTGATCCCTACTGGTTTTTCTTATGATCTTTTGGGTTATTTCTTTTTGATCCTTCGCCCGGTGTGCAACACCCATCCCCATCTGCAGGCATTGCCTTCGACGTCTTTGGGCTGTCAGAGACCATGGCGCGGCAAGCGTCCTCCACGGTGCTGGCCGTTTTCACCTTTGCGGTGGCTGGAGCGGTGACGATCGGTGGGATCATCTACGACTTCGCGGGATGGCAAGGTGGAGCTGGATGGCAAGGGGTACTTTGTTCATTCGGAATGAGCCCCCAGAAAGAAGAGCGTGACGCAAAGACCATTAAGACTCTATATTCTTGGTCTTTGCCCCACATGTTCAACCTTGGGAGAGATGGCTGGCCAGGAGTTGCTTTCTGGGGTTCTTTCCTGAAATCTGCCCAGCCGATTTTTATGGACAGGGGATCCCTCACAAGTCATGGCTGTTGCCATCACATAGCCATGTTTATTGACTCTGGAACCCTTCATATCCCTTCGCCCAGCGGGTTCAGGCATGTCGGCATTCCATGCGATTTGCCAGTTGATCGTCTTGTCGCAACTCGTGGCTCAGCCAGTGGTCCGGAAGTCCTTCTGGGAATTCTTTAAGAAGGAGATGGTCAAGGACTCGATGGTCGGTCAAGGGGACGCTATACAAAAGGCAAAAAGCATCAAAAAGCAAGCACCAAACCCCTGGTTCTTCAAAGTGACCAAACTTCATTCATCCGCGGGTGGTTTTTTGGGTCACATCAAGGCCTGGTGAAAAGGGTCACACCAAAAAGGTCACTTTGAAGACGCCCAGCGCGGCCGGGCGTTCTAGCTCTCTTTTTAAAAGTGTGCTTTCCCCCTTGTTTTGAGTGCCTTTGTCTGACCTACTAGTTACTGTACGTCGTCTTAGTGACGATCATTCTTTGGGCTGAAGACATCTATAGCCTTGTTTTGGTGTCCTCAAGACATTCTTAGCGCTGCAGGAGACCGAATCCAATGCATTTGCGCTCTCAGTCGTACCTGCACCGAAGCAGAATCCAGCACAGGACCTGCACGCCCTCCAGCTTGAAGAGGTTGACGCGTTGCCAGGAGCAGTGCCAGATCAGAACGAGCGAGACATCGAAGAGGGCAGAAAAACAGGAGGCTCCCAATTGAACCAAGCCAGCAAAGAACCAGCCAACACTGCAGAGTACCAGCCTCAAGGCTCGTCATTTGGACACGGCAGAGAAAGCAAGGCTTCGAGTCAGCGTAGCTCAGCCATGAGCGATCCGGATGGTCCAACGGGCCGTCCAGGCCGAGAGAGGCACACACGAGGCTCTGTCCGGACCACCCAAACGCGCAAGACCGGCGCCAGCCGCGGCACCCGCGGCACGCAGCTCAGTGGAAGATCCGCGCTGACCGTCCGGTCCGCGATGAGCGGTCGCACGCAGAGGACGGCTCTGTCGCGGCTGACCAACATGAAGGAGTCTTAGCTTTTGAATGGAGACCACCAAAAAGGCTGCTGGGTTTTTTTGATGTTTGGACGTGATAGTTTGATGTTATTTGTAGAAGGCAGTTGCACAGAGAAACCAAGGCATGAAGCAGATAGGAGGATGAAAAAGACCTCAGTTTGGAAACCCCAAACTGGTGGATTCCCATTGGTTTAGCTTTGTAGTCAAGTTGGGGCTCACATCTTCAGACCCAGACGAAGCAGATCTCCAACTTGTTCTATGTGGGCCACGACTGAACCTTTGCAAGATCTCAAAAGGTACCATTCTTTTTTCGACCAGTTGATCGCATGATCATGCATGATTGCATCTCCCCAATGCTGAGCAAGGATTCCGACAACTTCCAACACCATTTCATGGCCAGCAACGTTCTACGTCCCACCATCGCGCAGAGAGCTGGACCAGGGCCCGAGGAGGATGTCGAGGATAAGACCAGGTCGAAAGCAGTTCCCAAGGACCTCGACTTCGACGATTTGCAGGTGATTGCTTTTCATGGATTTGTTCGGTTGAAAATGCAGACACCCCTTGAAATCCATCCTGTATAAATATTATATACGAGCATAATGGATGCATTTGATATGGGTTCATCTCAAAATCACATGACCCCTCAAGATGCGTTGTGTTTGAGTCTATTGCTCCCTGAGACACAGCCAGAGCCCTAGGGATCCTATGGGGCCCCAGGCTGGGTTTCGTGCTCAATTGTTCTTTCGTCTGGCAATTGATCTTTCACCCAGACATTCACACATGATGGATGCTTGGTCATTGCTTGACCAGACGCACCAGCGCCCCAATCCTTTCAACCACCCGTCGAAGGACAAACACATCGATCAACTCATGTGACCAATCCAACAAATCGGATTCGGGCGACCGCATCGGGTTCTCTACCCCAAAGCGTCAGACGGTGGACCCTGAAGCGTCCAAGCCCCCCCTGCGTCAGACGAAGAGGTTTGGCCCCAAAGGATTCATGGCGCCCAGGATTTGCGAATCCCATTGACCTTGATCGTCATTTGCTGCTTTTGCAACTACGCCTGCTACGTGATCGAGTTCTCCACCTTTGCCATCTTCTTTAAGGCACGGAGCGTTTTTTTGGACCGAGCGGGCGCTCGGAACGGTGGGGCGGAACGGGCGAATTCGGAAGTTCACAGCGAAAACACACGTGGCGAGATTCACTCCAAAAGAGAACAAGTGTGAAGACATGCATTAACAATAATATATAATATATATATACACATATTCTTCCAGCATGAGGCATGAGGTTTGGAGCCGTTTTGTTTTTCAGCAGGCGTAAGACGCCGGAATTCCTGAAACCGCTTGCAACGCGGCCGTCGCACATGGACCTCTACACACTAAGGATGCATAGACAAACCTTTTATCAGAACATATAGTACTCAGTACTGTAACCTCCAAAGCTTTAGGTGGCAACTGATTGCCTGGCTAAAAGAAAATCACCATTGCAACTTCTCCCTCTCCAAAAAGGCCACCCCTTTGGAGTCAGGTTCTAAGAAGTTCCCCCCCATCAGTCTCTCCAAGATCCACAAGACGTCCGGCCCCTTTTTTAGGGTTTCGGGAATCACATGGGCCCCTGTGGAGAGAACTGGGCGAACATGGGGAATCACCTGTTCTGTGGGCAGAGAACTGGGCCCAGTGGTTCGCTGTAAAAGACGTTGATGTTTTTTTGGTTTTGGTCCTCCATGTGCTTAAACAATGGCAGGTTTTGCTTTCTTAGGTGTTGCATCACACGATGCATGTCATTGATCCAAACAAGTCCGGAGATGGAACGGACGCAAACAGCTAGCAACTGAGGAGGGTTCGGCCGCCCGAAAACCAGTTGTTCGTCCGAAACGGATCCGTCCCGTGGGTCCATAGGCCGGTCCGGCTTGGTCTCATCCTGCCGGTCCATACAAGCTTTCCTTCGTTCACGAAGAGACATGAAGAAACGCAGCAACAGTCGACCGAGAAAAACCCCGAATGTGTTTGAGCTGAACAAAAGAAGAGGACACCGGAGATCTTATTCTACACCATGTTTGGGCTCCAAAACAAGGGGTCACTCAGATTCTTATACGATTTATCTTAGGCCACGGTGTGAATTCGAGTGGCAGAATGATCCGGAAAGACTCCATGGAAGAAGGGAAATGGACCAAAACTCATTGGGCCATATTAAGTACACACGCATATATATATATATATAAATGGATCCATGTAAGAGTGTGGAATGACCCATATTTAAACACACACTCATACATGATCCTAAATACACACTCATATATATATATATATATATATAAATGGATCTGGATATAGCCTGCTTTCATCGATGAAGCTCATGACCAGTCTTCTTGCGCTGGCAGCCAGACATTTGATCATTTGGCGGGTCCAAAAGGAATGGGCGGGCGGTACCGTGAGCAACCCACTAATCAGAAAAATCATATCAACTCAACAAAACCTCCGCAGGTCAATATCTAAGAGCCACCTCCAACCATTCGGAGGCCTATCATGGCCGGGAAGCCGCCACTTGGGCGAGCCTGGCGCAGACGGCCGGCGATTTGGTCGCCGCGGTGATGATGAAGCTGCTCCGGAGCGACGTCGAGGAGGTCGGGGCTTCCGTCGGTCGGATCCGTCCCCGCTTTTCACGGGTCGGAGCGAGCGAGTTCGTGTCCGGCCTTAGAGCTCTAAGGACGATGAAGAGTCTAAGAACGTTCACAGCCTTTGGGGGGGTGGAAGCTAGTTTTTGCCAGATCCCTGATCGCACCATTTTTGACCTCGAACGACGGTTCGGAGACGGTTCTTCCCTTGATTGTTCTTTTGGTGGCCAACATGCAGTATTTAGTTGCTTTTTTAATGGTGCTGCATGGATACCACGTGAAGAATTGGGGCATCATTATTGGAATGACCATTTTGGACTGGTTTTCAGTTCCAGAAATGCCTTCATCCAAGAGAATGCCCACCTATGTCAAATTGGAACATCAAAAAACTAACCTTCCCTCACTGGGATTGCGATTTCCACATGATCCTCATGCCAGCATTTGTTTTTTGCCAAACGTGTTGATGGATTCCTATGGTTCTGGAGGTTGAGAATCCTTCATTCCTGCGACGCATGACGATGCAACCCTACAACATCGTTTGCCTGCTCTTCTGCTGGATCTTATGCAATCTTGGGATGATCAGTCCTTTGCTACCCGTGGCAGTGGCGGCGCAAGTGATCATGGGCACTGTCTCCGAGTTGCACGCCTTTGAACATGTTTTATTTTTGGAGACCTAAATTAGTTTGGGACAATAATAGGTTCATACAAATCATACCACAGATCTTCCTGGTTCAGAACCAAATCACCCAGGTCTTCGTCTACATCATGAAGATGACCAATGATCTGAACCTCTTCTTCTCAATGGGGGATACCTCGCTCTATCTCACACTTCAGGTCTATTGCCACTTGGTCCAGGCTTCGAGGCTCCAGGTAGCCACCGTTCGGAACATCTCGAATGGAACATCGAATGGAACATCTGGGACCCTTTCCGTGAAAAGAGTCTATGGCTTAGAGTTGTCTTTGAAAGACCTAACACTAAGCACGTGCTGTTTGACGTGCTGTTCCTGGCGGGAAAGAGTACACCGATATTTTTCGTGCACCGATTGTCGCGTTGCGTCGGCTTTGTGGCCACAACTTCGACCACCTGACACATCGGATTCGTTTCGCCAAGGTCGATCGACACGGGGCCTTGTTGTTGCTTCAAAAAATGGAAGCTTTGGAGATGGATTCAGATAGTCACCTGATTGATTCCATGTGGTTGAAACCAAGGCTTGCTGATTTGGAAGTAAGTAGACCTTCATCCCAACTAAATGTCCTTCCACGGTGATGTGACCACCAGATTCAGAGGCTGATCTAACCTGAGGCATCCTCGACATGTCCATGTTCGAGTGGGGGGTTCTGGGTGCGCCACTCCTCACCTGCTAGTGATGACCGCCCATCAGTGGCTGGACGTCACAATATGATCAATACGGAATATCCCTGATTGTACTGTCTGTGCTAACGTGAAGATGGAAACCTGCAAGTTCTTCACTTAAAACATTGATAGAAACCTCTCTCTTCTGCTTGTGCTTCACCGGTGAACCGTTTTGGTTTGTCCCCACCCCTTCGGTGTGATCGACCAATCGACAGGCAAGAACGCTGAAGCGTGTGGGGGTTGCATCTCCAGAGTCTTGGTGGAATTGGACTCGGATTCGTTGACAGACCCAGTTTGAGGCGACAAGGACAACATGAACAGATGCTCAGTTAGCTGGGAGGTGATCAGAATATGCGGGGGTCAGAGGATTCTGGGGTTATATATGGCTGCCACACAGGAGGAAACCGATGCTGCGGTGCTACGGTACGAGACACAAAAGGAACCGACAGGCGCGCACGCTGTGAGCGCGAGCTCTTGCGGCTGCATGGATTAGTCACAGCGCTGCGCGTTTTCTGAGCGCTGCGCTGTGCCAACTGAGTGAGCTGTGTGGACTGAGGCTTCCTTGGACCTTTTCTCTTCGCAAGGGTGAATCCTTTCTTCCCCTTCGTGGTCAGCACTGCCATGTCCACGCTGACCTTCGTTCTCTTCACAGCAGGCCAGGTTGTTGAGGGTCTGTCTGAGGACTGTCAGTTTTGGATATTTTTGGAATCCCCGCTCAAATCCAAGGGGTGGAACATTGGGTGAACCCTTAATTTCCATTAATTTCCAACAAACATGGCTCAGGTCTCAGGGTCGGTGTGTTTGCATGGATGTCTTCTGGATCCTTGGACACCAGCCTCGAAACATGACGGTGGCCATGGCGATTCGTCCGTGACATCCACGGGTCCAGGAAAACCAAAGCGTCCAGAGGGGCGGTGCTGGAGTTGGTGCGGCACATGTGTCCGAACCAGATCTCCGACTCTGTCGACCTGGTGAAGACGCTGTCGACGGACGGGTCGTAGGTCCCGGAAATTCGTTCGATTTCACGTTCGAGTTCGTTTTTGGTCTGTTGAGGCTTTCAACAGTGTGTCTCAGAATAAGAACCCTCCGTCTATTGAAAGAAGCGCGAGATGACTTCCCAAGCGGACTAAACTGATCCAGTTCTCTCAGTCTTCTTTTGAACCCTGGGTCCATTGGAGCACACGAGACGAGGCTTTTGCCAGCGCGTGGGTTGCGAAGACATCGAGACGGCCGAAGCTCAGCGCAGCCGACGGCTGGGAACCAAGCGTGTAAGCCACTGGAGTGTGGTCAGCCGCAAGACTACAGCGTCTTGGAACAGCCAAGCTGGTGGCGCGCACGGCATGAGGAATGTAGTTGGTTCTTGCCACCAAGAGCGAGTGACCCCCCCTCTTGTTCATTCGATAGATCATCTAGGACATCTGGCAGTGTTGCTGATCCTGCGACCGTGTTTCGGACCATTCCTCGGCGACCGTTGAACGAGTTCAGGACGCAGATGTCCGAACGCCACACCAACGGTGCCGGCTGGGAAGATACATGGAATACTTTTATTCTTTTTCGCGAGATATTCGACGATTCGATATCAGTGTATTGGATGATAAGACTTAAGAAAATGTCCTAACATGTTTTTGATATATAGAATACAGGGCACCTGGCAAGCACCTGGTTTTCAGCACGCGGCTCGTGTCCAGCCGTCGCAGCGCATTGCGACGAAAGCGGTTTAGGAGGGTCGTGACAAAAATGCCAAAGAATGTATCACCTGGACCCAGCTGAAAGCATTGGATTCATTTTCGGAGGTCAAACATCGGCATCTCACCAGGGGCCTCCTGTAGTCGTAGTCCCCTTTCCAAGGCCTTTCCAAGGCCACTTGCCCGGTCCCAGGACGTTGGTCCCGTTGTTGCGGAGCTCCATGAGAGCTGAGCCGAACACTTCAAGGCATGTCCAGCTGCATGTCCATCTCAAGGGATGACAGATTCGTGTGCACAAAAGATGACGTTCCGCAGATTCGTGTCTTTGATGCTGACATCTCCCAAAATCATCAAAATCCCCGCATTTTGCCTGGCAACAGCACATTGGCGGCTGTGGCTCAAAAGAAGGGGTGTTTGATGGTGTTTGAAATCTGTAGATCGCAAAGACCTAGCATTGGCAGGCTTGCGATGAGCCCCCTTTTGACCATGCCCCCAGAAAGCAGGAAGGCGGCTGAGTCACAACATCAAACCCAGGAAGAGTCTCACAGTGTTTACTTTCAAAGTCCTCTCATGGGTACATAACAAAGGAGGATATATACGTAAAACCACTTTGCTTTGCAAGGGCAATTCAAGTTCCATGTTTTGCTGAGGTGACCTCAAAGTAACACAAGCACTCATGTGGCCAAGGAGATCATTTTCCAAACTTGTGGTTGCCAGGTTTGGTTGGCTGAGGTGGAGTCCTTTTCAAGAAACAAGGCAACAGACCCGCATGATTTCTGCCCAGGCTTTGCGTCTGGAAAGTGAGCGGCTTTGAACGCCTGGGTGGCCTCCACGTAGTTGCATGCAGATGATCTCCATCGGGTGGAATAGAACCTATTCGGCCCCTGTTTTGATCGAAAGACCATGTTTTAGCTCGAAAATAGGTGTCACTCAGGTTCCAACAGACGGTATAGACGGACACCTAGGTCGCCTGAAGACAGCAACTACTGACTGGAGAAGGACGCGAATTGCGCCTCTTTTTTGGGAGCCCGCATGAAATCTTTAATGTACACGGGGTGTGTCGGCTGGGATGGACCTCCAATTGCTTGGCATCCTCTGATCGACACCCACACCCTTCGAGAAGACCTCTCAGATTTGCAACCAAATCTGACACCTTCGTTCATGTGTTGTCGACCTGTCAGCCCTGTCAGGGCCTGTCCCACGGAGTAGGCAGGAAGACTACAGGCACCAAATCAAACGTGGCTTCACTGGGTCGCTGTGTCCGGGTTGGGGTCGACCCACCAAGAGCCCCATGAGCTCAAAGGTGGATAGAGTCATCCAGACATGGTTGGCTGTGATGCTGGAAACAAAAGACCTCGATGCACCCAGCAGATGAGACTTCCAGATGCTGGAAGGGAGGCCTGGGGTCGCTTAGGGTGGGAGACCTGCCCAGATGACACAGATGAGAACCCCCCACATCCCGACCACGAAAAAGGAAGGATGGGTCGCCATCGTTGGAGTCCGGAGGGCGGAACTGGAAGTCATGGAGTTGGAACAGTCATGGATTACTAGGTCAACCTACCAGGGTGAGTCACTCGCTCCGAGTTCGTTTTGACCCACTGCCATTTCTGGTGAGTTTCTCTCTTATTCCCCGGCATATGCCGAGCTGGATGCAGCTAACCCATGCTAACCCTGCATATGAACCGATGTGAACTATTCAGGCATCCTGATGGTTGAAACAATCCGGCCTTCTTTCTCGCTGAGCACCCCCCCCATGGACCAATGGAGTTCCAGGTCCCTTTCAGACCGCAGCCACTCTCCCAGACCGCCAGACCGCCAGCGCCGCAGGTCGACTGCTGACGGTCCGGGTCCGCCTGCCTCCGCGTCGAAGAAAAGATGGAGAGGACGGGGGCCACCGAGTCCGACCTGGTCCAATCTGGTCCAATCTGGTCCAGACACCTCCAGAGACGGAGCTCGGTGTTTTGGTATGACTCACTCCAGTACTAATCAGCATGAGGTCGGTCAGTTCCGGATCTGTTTTTGTGCTAGAGGGATTAGGACTGACTCATCACTGATTTCTATGGGTCAGGTGCTCATGCCCCTTCAACGGATCAACTGGTCTGGGGGGGTGGATCTTGGGGACGGGATGTGGTTCCACTGGTTCCACACAGTGTTTGCCCGCCTTATCGCAATGCTTTAGCACGTAGCCAACCCATTCTTTGGAACCCATTGCTGAGATTGGAAGTGTTATTTGATTAAACGATGCAATATAGCACTATTGAGGATTTCATTGTTAAGGAACTGTTGCACTTGTTGCAGTGGCTGCACAACGCCTCATATACAGTAGTGTTTTTTGTTTGCTTTTCTTTGAGCCTAAGCCATGATAGCATTGACTCTTTTCGTTTGCATCACTGCAGGGTGTCCAGTAAAGTTTTCTTGGGTTTCGGTGATGCGTACGGCTTATCATGGATGATACTTGTTTCCCGCACAATAGTGTTTGTCAAGACGGATCATGCATGATAAGCTGAAACTACAATCACGCTCAAAATGCCCTTTGTTTCTCAAAGGACTCCCAGATAACTTATCCAGATCGGTTGAAAGCCTTTTGAGTGACAGCAGTGACATCTCAAAGAATCACCAAGAGTCTAACAATTAATTGATTGTTTACACCGGGACACTGAAATCTAGATGGGGATGACATTTCGATCACGCCAACATCCGTCAGCATAGCTGACCTAGGCTGACCTTGTTTCGTGCTGGGTTGGTGCCAACATCAATTAGTCCCCTGCGTCTGACAAAACGAATCAAATCCATCTCACTCCACTGGTAGAACCAAAAACGTCCCTCTGGTGAAACGTCTACTTTTGTGACCTAGGGACTGAAACACGGCGGTTCATCATCTGCCCCAAGACGACCCAGCATTACCCGATGACCTCAACTGGGTCTTGCCAATCCCAAAGCCAGGGTAGCTGGCAACTCAGCTGTGAATAGTCACAACTCAGGTCGTGACTCAACTATTCACAGCTCAATCCATTTTGTATGAACAAGGTAGGTGGCAACTCAGCTGCTGATGCGTCATGCTTGCCGCGCGCCAAATTGGCTCGACAGCTGGTGGGTCCTCGCCCCCCGTTAGCACTCGGCGCAAAACTCGCACACTGCGCGGAGTCCGAGCTACCGCACCTGGGAGCTGCTCATGACGCCGAAATAAGTCTCATTCCTCACTTTCCCCCTCTTCAACGGGTTTGGGAGCTGGAAACCCTCGTTAGATCATCAGGTGTTGAAGGGACACATCAGGAACCTGTTGCGATACACCAGTGGCGAGCGCTCCCGCTCCCTCCCGCTGCCCGTGAAGAAACAACAAAGCTGAAACAGACCGGATCATTTTGACCGAGAAAGAACATGCAATGTAGACTCTTGATATCTCTTGATTAATAACCCCCCTCAATGGGAAGAGGATGTCCTGGTCAGGGGTTTATTCATCAAGATTCTACATGTACCTGTGGCCTATCATTAAGTGACCTTCACGTAGAGTCGCACTCTACCCTGAAAGAGGTGAGAGGCATCGACCTTGGCATCGACTGAACCGGTGAACCGGTGAACCTTGAGAAGAACCAGGTATATATTTGTTTCTTCATCAGGAAATCAGGAACATCCAAACAACAACAACAACAACAACAACAACATCCACATCCAAACACGGAAGTGATCAGCTAGAAGCTTCCTAGGACAGTTGCAAAGAGCTTCTTGCAAGTCATCTCTGCCCCCCCCATAACTACTGTAGTTATCTGTACACGCATGGTGGAATCAAGCGAGAAATAATGTGCAAAACACAGCATAATTATGCCATACTATGCGTACATACAGCTGCGTCCAAACAACATTGAGCAAGCAGGCCCTGGCCTCTCAGCCCCAGCTCGGGCTGCACCTTTGGTCATACCTCCCGCTGACAGGGCGGGTGTCAGGTTTTTTAGGCGGCGCGGAAGTTGAACAACTTCCTTTTTGTGAAGTGATGCAGGTGGTTCTTTCCGCACATTGATTGATATAAAACTAGAACTTCGGGCAGACAAATACATGGATACCTGCGTGCATACAGTCACACGTAGGCAGGCAGGCAGACATATAGACAGACAGACGTGTATTCACACACACACACACAACAGATTATATAGACCGTGACCTAACCCCAATGTCAATGTTCTCCCCTACCTGCCTAATTACTAGCCCTTTGTTTGGCATACTGCACACCTTTGAATCTCCAGGCCATGAACAGTCCCAAAAACACCCAGTGAAATGTCAATCCGCCACTTTCTCTTTGCCAAACTGGTTTCTTTCAGCTTCAACTCTTTGTGCCTGGACAGAAGCCTCACTCTCGTCAGACCGGAAGCCGAACACCTCTCCCCGTCCCCTCCCTCCGCCTCACCCGTCCGTCGCCGCAGGTTGGCCCGGAATCCGTCCGCCATGTTCGGCCGCGTGTCCCGTGCGGTTCGCCCACGTGCGGTGCCCCACACGGGTGGGGCGGGGCGGGGCGGGTCGGCCTTGGAGCTGAAGATGCGTGAGGTGCCGATGGTTATAAGAATTCCCAGAGCATTTAAGAGCATGGACACATGCATAAGCCTTGAAATCTCTCGGCCATGAACAGTCCCTACTCTGCTAGCTGTTCTACTTAAGCCGGTTGAAGATGGTTGAAGATTGTGGCTGTAAGATTCTCATGCTGAGCTGTAAGATTCAGCAGGGAGCTGTGGTTAAGAGTCGTCCCAGAGTCGTGCAATGCGATATATTTGAAGCCAAGAGGTTGTGGGTTAAAAGGGATGGTCATCCACTTCCACCTTTCATGGAATCTGACCACTGCTTAGAGGACTCTTGGAGTTGTTGATTTGATCACAGGAAGAAGAGAACTCAGCACCGATTCGGCCCGCAGGCATTTGGCCAAGACTGCCAACCTTAGGTTCCTTGAAAAGGAACCTCAGGGGGGTTGGTTCCATCCACACTTTCTCAGTCTTTTGGTTGCCAGATGGCAGAGGACTTGCAGGATGAGTTCGATGAGGATGATTTTGACGACGAGGATCTTCAATGGTCATGCAATTACGTGGTCGTTTGCATCTTGTTGCCCACCTTGATTGGCTTCATCAATGGCTTCTTCTGGTCTGGTCTAGCTCTGCATTACGTGGACATGGGTTGGGCGGTAGCCAGAGCCGGCTTGGCCTCGACCATTGGCTTGCTCTTGCGGCCCTTCTTCCAACAAATTCAAATCCGGGCAGGCAGGCCAAGCCGGGCTGGGGCTGGCAGGGCGGGCGCAGGGCTGTCATGAGGTCCTGCTCCTGGTCTTTTCTCTTCAACGAGTCTGTTTGGAGTGTTTGTAGCGCTGTTTGGAGGGTGAACTCCCAACTCCTGTCATAGCCAGATGTTCAGAGTCGGGTGGCTGATGGCAACAGTTCCCTCGATGCCCGGATATTCTTGTCTGGATAGTCATTAGATGTCATTATATAGTCATGAATCAAAGCTGCTAGCATGTAGCTGGTACTTCCGTTTGTTCACCAACAAGTTCACCAGCAGCATGTAGCAGCTTCATACTTTGACCAACGAGTTCTACTCTTGTCACTGTCTTTCAATACGACCAAGTCCGACAGACTGAACATCCTTCAGCCTTCGCTCCCCAACCACCGGGTGGTTTGAACGCTGTGTTCGTGATCAGCGTGGGAAAAGAGCCACACAGTGAGTCATGGCACGGTCTTGATTTTTCATGTCTTTCGAGAGACGGGGTTGGCCCCCCAAAAAATCCAAGGCGATTGGGTATGCCCAGACGTTTGTTTTCTTCATGTTTTTTTGTTTCGTTTTGGAGAAGGTGAGTTCCCATTTTTTTTTCGCAGAACATGCGTGTTGGGTCGTGTTGGCATCAGGCTTCTGGGCAGCTGTGCCCTTGGGAGCTTTGCACTTGGGTCTTGCCATTTTGGGTGCCGCCCTTACCACCCAGGAGAGGAGGTTGGACAGGTTGCGAGCTTTCACCTGCTGCAGATAGAGAGTGCTTGAAGGATGACGATTTAAGGGCTTTTGGAATAGCTGTTCATTTGCAGTGTCTTTTACCGGGATGTTGTAAGATTGCCAGGTGTGCCAGCCCTGAAGTCACTTTTTGGACTCAGACTCAAGTGTGCCACAAAAGAAGGGCCAAAGACCCATCTCAATATATCTCAACCACCTGGTTCTTCAAAGTGACCTTTAGATAACCTGGTTTGAGGTCACTTAAGCCTTGTAAGGGTCACTTAGGAACCTTCAAAAGGTCACTTTGAAGAAGCTGGCATACAAAACAGACAATTCTTGGAATTAAGACCATCCAAACCAGCCAAGGCCGCAATGCCCACTCCAAGCACTCAGAATGCAAATCCTGTTTCTCACAAAACCGCCGGCATTCGGGATCTGTTCACTTTTTGTGTTCTTTCTTGTTGGTCTTTCGCATCCTTTGAGGAGTGGGCAGTGATCTTGGAGGTCACAGCATTGCAAGGTTTGGACCCCTCCATCACCATTGAAGGCAGCTTGGACACAGAAAGCGCTCCCAAGCTCCCGAACCGGTGGCACATGGCCCGACCTGGGAAGCCACGGGTGGAGCTCGGGGTTCTCAGACGGGGAGGTCACAAGGGTCCTTCCTGGTCGTAGATCACCGAATCTGAAGCCCGCGATCTTTCTGAAGGAAACCTCCTGTTGAGGGGCTTTCCTGTCACATGAAGCTAAGGAACGTAAAGAATTCTTTGGCGCTACAGACTTCACTCCCAAATGCAGCGCCAAAGGACCTTTGAGCATTAGAGCTTGGAAGGCCCTAACCTTGGCAGATTATTGGAGTCATCCGGTCCTGCCAAGCCACAGGGAGGCAAGAAAAGCACAAACAGGAAAGAAGCACAAAGGAGCCAGGGAGGAGTTGAACCCAGATAGACTTGGGTGGTGATGGATGGGAGGCTCTAGGTCCTCTAAACATGACCCCAGAATGAAGATCCCCCAACAGATCATGTCATATGATATTTAGATATATTTAGACAATAGGAGTTTGCGCTTGAGAGGTAAGAGACAATACAATTTTGTATTGTTTGACATTTGATGAACCCACATCGTCTTTGAGCACCCTTATCTGTGTAACTTTCAATTTTGTCTTCGCACGGGATCGCACTCGACATGCAGGGTCCTAGTGAAAATCAAGACACCAAGACCATGCAAGCGAATGAAGAACTGATCCCGCTTGAGTCCGACCAGTCCACAACCCCCCAAAGTGTGTTCGTTTTTTTCCGAGGACCTCCTCCCATCCCCCGGTGGGGGGGTAGGAGCAAGGACGCTACTAGTAGCAAAGGGCATCGCTACTAGGAGCCAGGGCCTTACTACTAGTAACAAGAAGCTAGTAGAAGCAATGCATCTTTAACATGTAAAAAATGCATCGCCCCAGCTCTCATAGAGAGCCTTCGCGACGCCGAGCTTGTCTCCCGCCTCCCCATCTGCAGGCATTGCCTTCGACGTCTTTGGGCTGTCAGAGACCATGGCGCGGCAAGCGTCCTCCACGGTGCTGGCCGTCTTCACCATTGCCGTGGCCACCGCAGTGACCATTGGCGGCATCATCTACGACTTCGCGGGATGGCAAGGTGGAGCAAACTGACAGGACGTGAAGCCGAACTGACAGGGTGCTGGGAACAAGTCACAAGTGGATTTGAGTGGTTTCTGAGGTGGCTAGTTCACCAAAACTTGATTTGCTTGGCAATGTGTGTACAACTCAATGAGCCGTGCAAATTCAGTGGGATAGAGCTGCATCCGGAGATTGCTTCCAAGGTGAGACAGGGGCTGGTTTGCTCACTGCTGAGCATTTCGTAGACTGAAGAGGGACACAAGAAACATGATCAACATCCACCAGGACTTTCCCCGTGACATTTTCAGGATTGGTTTCCGTGACCTGTTACAGAGCTGTTCGTGACCTGTTCGCCACTGGGATCTGAAGGGGAAGGTCACTGGGGAGCTGGTCACTGGCAGGCCCAGCTGGTCCAGCTCCCCGTCTCAGCTCCCGAGCCATGAAAAGCTCATTAGCTATAGGGAAAGAGGAAGTCGATGGCGAAGTGGACCCGAACAGGGTGGAGGTTTGGGAGATGTGGATATTCAACCTTTACTTCGGATTATTTTCACCCACTTCTTTTCCACCACCAGCCAGCGGCCAGCGTTGTTTCCAGGCATGTCGCTCTTCCATGTGGCTTGCCTGCTGCCCTGTGCCTTTTTACTGCACAGCCGGTGGTGTGGAAATCCTTCCGGGAATATATTTCTTCAAAGCTGCGATCCCGGGAGAGGAGCCCAGTTTCGACAGCCGAGAAGGGTGTGGGGGACCGGACGTTTGTGTGTTTCATTGGCGTCCAGGGGCATGGAAGCTCTTTGAGATTCTTGTACTGTAGGGCTCCAAGTACCTTCTAAGAAGGTGTTTGGCGTGTGTTTAGAGGGTAGTATTTCCCCAAACAGTTTACTGTTAGGGGTTCTCAAGTCTTTCTTAAGATGTGTCCGCCCTTTGTGTCACTGGTGGCCTCCGCCCTTTTCCGCTGGCCATGTAGCGTTTCTGTTCATTTGTCTCCCAGGTGCTGGTGTCCGCCCTTTTCCGCTGGCCATGCGGCATTTCTATTCATTTGTCTGCCAGGTCTGTCGCTGCTGGTGTCCGCCCTTTTCCGCTGGCCACGCGGCAATTCTATTCATTTGTCTGCCAGGTCTGTCACTGCTGGCGTCCGCCCTTTTCCACTGGCCATCACAGCATTTCTAGTCATGTGTCTCCCAGGTCTGTCACTGCTGGTGTCCGCCCTTTTCCGCTGGCCATCAGCATTTCTATTCATGTGTCTCCCAGGTCTGTCACTGCTGGTGTCCGCCCTTTTCCGCTGGCCATGCAGCATTTCTATTCACTTGTCTCCCAGGTCTGTCACTGCTGGTGTCCGCCCTTTTCCACTGGCCATGCAGCATTTCTATTCATTGTCTCCCATGTGCATTCTTTACTATTGTCTCCCATGTTCGGTGCCTGCGCTGCTGGTGTCCTCCCTTTTCCGCTGGCCATGCAGCATTTCAAGTCATTTGTCAGTTGTCTCCCAGTTGATTTCTTTACTTTTGTCACCCTGATTTCTGTATGTATGTCTCCCAGGTTCTGTGCCTGCACTGCTGGGGTCCGCCCTTTCCGCTGGCCATGCAGCATTTCAATTCATTTGTCTCCCATGTGACTTGATATCCATTCTTGTTGGCCGTCCCCCTTCTTGTTTCCCTTCTTGTTCTCGCTTGCAATCCTTTACATTTGTCTCCCAGCTCTGGACTGCTGTGTCCGCCTCTCCTCGTGTCTCCCTTCTTGTCTCCCTTCTTGTTGGTCACTGTGTCCGCCTTGTCCCCCTTCTGTCTCCTTTTGTCTCCCTTTGTCTCGGTTTTGTCTGCCTTCTTGTCACTGTGTCCGGC